CACCTAGAGATATGTCGTTGGTCTCCCCGAGTGGCATCGAGCAGAGACTGCTGATGTTTATAGCTGAGGGGGTGGGGACCGGAGGGGAGGCACAGTGACTGACCCATTGAAGAAGCTCGGTCCTGATGCTAACGACTGACTCTTGGCTGGTATCACTCACCTGCTGTACCAGTTATTGCACCTGCTGGTGGGTGCAACTCCTGCATGTTCCCTCGTTAGAGGCCTGAGCATGGATGTGGCTGCTATGGGGTTCCCCGTAATACTATAATGACAATAAAGAAAAGAACAGAAAAAACGAAAGAAAAAAAAACAAAAATCGATCTACTTTTTAACGTAAAAAAACATAAAAAATCCAACTCTTTTAATCCTCACCCATGTGACTACTTATATATATATTTTTATATAATTTTTAAATCGCAAACTAGGAACCAGGCCCGACATCCGTTATATTTTGAAATGTCAGGAAACGGGTTTGGCGTCCCTCTCAAAAGAAAGGTGGTCTTCTCTGAGGGCGAGACAAAATCGGCCCATCCCACAGAGCGGACCAACAAAAACAAAAACGTAGTAAACAAACCCTAATTACCCGTCTTCCAATGTCCGCCTCCGTCGTCTAAGCCTGCAAGAAAAGAATAAAATCCAACAACGAACCAAAACGGGAAAGTTAAACAAAACCCAATCCAACTATCCGTACTGAAAGAGCAATCACGAAAAACGAACAAACGAAAATCACAAACTAAACAGTAAAAGCTACCAAAAGTTTCTCGTCTAAAACAACGAGCCAAATATACCAAGCAACTGCACCAAGAAGAAGACACCTCCGCCTTGCCAACATGGACGAATATGAAGTCGACATCATTGAAGCATTCGCATAATCAACAAAGCCTCAGTGTCGATCGAGATGAGTAAAAGCCGAGGGGTTTCATCGCCCTCGTGGAGCTTGTCCCTGCGTGTCCGTGCGCCCTAAACCCCACAGCGCTTCCGCGTGTCCACCCGCAGAAGAATTTGGCAAGTGCAGCTAACACATGTTAGCTCCACCAGGCGAGTCTCTGCTACGCGAGGGCGAACTCTCAGGGCCTTGACTTCGTCCATTTTGGATGTAGGCCCACACGAGGACCGAAAGTCCCAAATATGTCCCTAAATGCCTCAAAATTTTGAGACTTTTGGTCCTCAGGAGCGCCTGAATCAAGATGTGTTTCAACCAGAGATGCAGAAAATCAAATCAATCGCTATATGCTGCACCTCTCCACAAACACTTCCACATTCAGGAATGAAATCCAATCCCTTTGGTAGTGGGAGGCTGGACGCTTAGGGCCTCGCCACACCACTCTTGAAACCGCGTTTTCAAGAGTTGGACGCGTCGCCACACAGCCACTTGAGAGTTGTAGCCCGCTCTTTCGAGAGTTGTCAGAACCTCGTTTCAAGAGTAACACTCGAAACTCCGAAACGCCCAGCCTGTAGCACCGCTCTTTTCAAGCATCCTCCCGAGGGCACTCGAAGGGCCCTTGATTTTCGAGAGGTGTCAGACCGTTATCCTGACGACATTTGGAAAAAACAAAGCTGTACGACTGTCGCTTTTCATCGTTTGTCCAACACCATCGCCCTTTCGAGAGTGTTGTGTGGCGAGGGGCCCGAAACTCTTGAAAACCCAACTCTTGAGAATGTTTGACAGCTCTTGAAAAATTTCCCCGTTTCAAGAGTGGTGTGGCGAGGCCCTTACACCCTTCCTCTTCCGACTCATCTTTGTGGATGACGAATCATAAACTTGGGGCCTCGCCACACCACTCTCGAAATGTGAGACAGACAAAAATGTGGCAGGTGCATCTGGACACCTTCTAGCGGGAAGTTCATTCTCGTTTTGCACATTTGGAGAGTGGTGTGGCCATGCCTTTGGGCCTCGCTGCACTACTCTTGAATCGTGAAAAATCAAGAGCTCATCACCGCTGCACTAAGGGCCTCGCCGTACGGCACAACTAACGAAACGAAACGATCACCAGAGTCGCGAGGCCTCGCGAAGCCCTGATCCACCGTTTCTCTTCGTTTTTTGCCTCACCGCCCCACAGCACACACGAAAACTCTCGCGGCAACGCCCTGGCGAGAGTAGTGCGGGATTCGCTTCGCTACGGTCCAAATTTGTGGACGCTACGGTCCAAGTTTTTGGATGGACCTCGGTGGGAGCGATGGAGCACACTCGTGAGATTTCGCAGCTCCTCCACCCTACCAGCGGAGGACCTACGAGTTCGGGAGTGCTGCAGGCAGGGAGGAGTCGGCACGCTCGTGAGGGCTCGCGAACTTGGAGACTGACAGCATTCACGAGTTTTTCCTGACAGAGGTCATGTGGGTGCTATGCGGCGACTGCTTCACGAAACGAAGTCGTTTTTTTTTCCGTTTCGTGCACCGTGCGGCGAGGCCCTAACTCTTGATGCCGCGTCCTATATTTCTATTCAAGAGCTGTCAGATTCACTCTCGAAAACGTCGAGAGTGAGTCATCACTGCACTAACTGTGGAAAACTGCTCTTGGTCCGGCGCTTCAAGAGGTGTCAGAAATGGCCCATCGGACGAGCTCTTGAAGTTTCCACAGTCCCCGCCTGCAGGAGCTGGTTTTTCAAACGAGGCCGACGGGTCCCTTCATGCGGTTTGCAAATTCGAGAGTTGGCCTCCGGTCTCAGTGGACAAATCGTCGCTGCCCTGTCGTGTAGTCTGTCCTACAGTCGAGAATGCTCACGAGAGTCGAGAGTCTGGAGTAAGTGCAGCGATGACAGCACTTGATGCCAATCCAGGAGTCTGACAGCGCTAGACGAACTCTTGAAATTTTTCATGTGTCTAGCGAGGCCCTTTGTACTGCAATTGCAATCCTAATTGACTGGATTCTGAATCTTCATGGTAGTTTTTTTGTTTGTTTGTTTTTCTCTTCTTTCTTTTTTTTCTTTTTTAAATAGTGAACATCTGGGGCAACACTAGCTGTGGTGATAAGAGCACCGATGGAGGGCAGCAAGTGGTGGAAGGGGATTTAGGTTGGAGTGCCGATTCTGTTTTTTGGAGCTCTATGCTCCCCCTCCCCGTGTTAGGGGAGAGCCAGTGACCTACAGGCAACAGTAGTGGCCTGAGCTTTCACTCATTTTGGGGTTGATCCCCGTGGGGCCTTTCCCGTAAGCGAAACTGGGTAATGCTCCCAGAGTAGACTGTGAGGACCCCGGCCTTGGTTGAGTTCAATTGGAAATATAACCCTTGGGCAAAAAAAAAAAAAGAAAAAAAAAAAAGGAGCACCGACCATCCAGCGGCCTAGCTCAGTTGGTAAGGCTCGCAAGTGGCGTTGAGGAGGTCGTGGGTTCAATTCCCATTCGCCTCGTGTACCTTCCTGGGCATGCTTGGCGCCCGCCACCTAGAGATAGACCACTGGATCCCCCATTCGGCATTGAGCAGAGTCTGCTGATGTTCGTAGGGGAGGGGACCTGAGGGGAAGCACAGGGATTGGCATGGTCCCTGACGCTACCAGCTGTCCCCTGGCCGGTATCGCCCACCTGCAGGTCGGGAGCAGCCCCGACATGTTCTCTCGTGAGCACGGTTCTGGCTGCTCCGGGGCCCCCGTTTGACTATAATTAAGAGTAGAGGTCCTTCGGGGCATCCGTTAAAATTGGAACGATACACAGGATGACACGCATAAATCGAGAATTTTTTCTGGGCCACGGAGGGGTCGTACGGGTAAGCTTGCTTACTCGACCCCTCCAGTGTTGCCTC